GAGGCCAACTCTTCAGACAAAGATTAGACTGGACTATGGGACATAAAATGATACTCGTGAAGAGTGTGCTTCTTAGCTCAAGTAAATCCATGAGACTAAATGGGCAGCTCCTGTCCGGAGGTGAAAAAGGCAGAGAGGGTCAGGAGCTGGTTGAGTGGACACGGGAAATCAGGAGTGGAAAGGTGGAGTGCGCTGTCATAGTATACGGAGAGCAACTAGGGTCATACAACAATGTATGTATAAATTTTTGTATGAGAGACTAACTTGAATTGTAAACTTTCACTTAAAGTACAACGATAAAAGAAAAAAAAAATTCTTGGCATAGACGAGTGAGCACTTCCAGCACTGCCTCCATTTGTTGAAACACCTGAATTGGTATTCCATCTATCCCTGGAGCCTTGTTTTTCACCGATGTCTTCAGTGCAGCTTGGACTTCTTCCTTTAGTACCATCAATTCTTGATCATATGCTACCTTCTGAAATGGTTGAACATCAGCTAATTATTTTTGGTACGGTAGAACTGCCCTAAAGGGTTTCCAAGGCCGTAAATCTTTACAGAAGCAGACTGCCACATCTTTCTACAGAGGAGCGGCTGGTGGGTTCGAACTGCTGACCTTTCTGTTAGCAGTTGAGCACTTAACCACTGAGCCACCAGGGCTCCTATGCACATATAGTCTAGAGTCTATATATACATAGACTGTTGTTAGGTGCTGTCAAGTCGGTTTTGACTCAAAGTGACCCTGTGTACAACAGAACAAAACACTGCCCCATCCAGCGCCATCCTCACAATCATTCCTATGTTTGAGTCCACTGTTGCAGACATTGTGTCAATCTATCTCGTTGAGAATCTTCCTGTTTTTCACTGACTCTCTACTTTACCAAACATGATGTCCTTTTCCAGGGACTAGTCCCTCCTGTTAACATGTCCAAAGTACGTGAGGCGTACCTTCGTCCTCAGAGTGACATCTTTACTTTTGAACACTTTAAAGAGGTCTTTTGCAGCATATTTGCCCAGTGCAATACGTTGTTTGATTTCTTGACTGCTGCTTCCACGGGCGTTGATTGTGCATCCAAGTAAAATGAAATCCTGGACAACTTCAATCTTTTGTCCATTTATCATGATGATGTTTGTTGGTCCAGTTGTGAGAATTTTCATTTTCTTTACTTTGAGGTGTAATCCATACTGAAGGCTGTAGTCTTTGATCTTCATCAGTAAGTGCTTCAAGTCCTCTTCGCTTTCAGCAAGAAGGGTCATGTCATCTGCATACCGCAGGTTGTTAATGAGTCTTCCACCAATCCTGATGCTGCGTTCTTCTCATAATAGTCCAGTTTCTCAGATTATTTGCTCAGTATACAGATGGAATAAGTATGATGAAATGATATAACCCTGACGCACACCTTTCCTGATTTTAAACTATGCAGCATCCCCTCATTCTGTTTGAAGGATTGCCTCTTTGTCTATGTACACTCTCGCATGAGCACAATTAAGCGTTCTGGAATTCCCATTCTTAGCAATGTTATCCATAATTTGTTATGAACCACACAGTCGAATACCTTTGCATAGTCAATAAAACACAGATGAACATCTTTCTAGTATTCTCACATAGACTGTATATATATA